TCTAGAGTAGTGTCAAAAAGGTTCAATTGTTTCATAGTTTCATTGATTTTAATTCTGTTCGGATTAATAAATCCGGTAGATAGCATTTCGAGGTTAGCTTTTGCGGCATCAATCTGAAATTTAAATAATCCCCACAGATTATTCCTTTCAAAGATTCTGAGTCTCTGATTAGTTCAACAATATCTTCGAGTGGTGATCTTTTCTGAGATGGGGTGAGAAGTCGACAATATGTTAATATGATAAAATTTGCATGAAAAATAAAAACTTTTGCAAATGAAAGTGAAATGATATCAAATCTGTCAACAAACCCTCAAATATGGAGCCCATTTGTTCCAAAACGTTACAGTAAATGGCTCATCTGATTGACGAGCATTTTTACCAAAAAATAATTCGTCAAACTGTTATGATAAAATTTGAATAAAAACTATGAAAAAAATGAAAGAAAATATAATAAAATAAAAAATATCAAATCTGTCAACAGACCAAATCTGGAAACAATGTGTGAAAACATATTGTGTCAATTGGTTCCACAAATGCGTCTATAATTAGTTGAGCGAATTCTTCTTTTGGTACTTTTTTAAAACATGGGTATGAAAAGTCGAGAAACTGTAATGATAAAATTGCACAGAAAATAAAAACAAATGAGAGTAAAATAATGTCAAATCTGTCAGCATACCCTTAAATTTGGAAACCATTTGCTCAAAAATGTTACATCGATTGGCTTTTTTGATTGTTGAGAAACAGAATCAGGTAAATAGTTTGGTCGGCCTGAAATGGATAATTAATTGCATTAGGAAAATGGTTAACAAGAAGAATAAAGATTAATCAAAATTTATAAATCTTACCAATAAAATATTTAACTTTTTTATTCCGAGCAACAATCAAATTACTCCATTTTTCGCAAACTGTAATTGTAATTTGTCAAATTATTATTAAATTAACAAAACATGACTTCAAACAAACTATAATATTAGTATCCAAATAGTGCGTTTTTACAGTCGGACGATAAACAATATTCATCACAAGATAACAAACGAGGTTTCAATCAAAACTGTTTCTTTAGCATAAAAGTTTTACAGCATTTATCGTATTGTGATTTCAATTGATATCTAAAAATTATTCAAGTATAATTATTGCAATATATACACAAGAGTGAGCTTTTGAGTCAAGTTGAAGGCAATTTTCACCGTCGCTATCAATAAGATTCAATTGTTTGGGATTATCTAATTTTTAAGTTTGATAACAAAATACTAGCTGAACATCGAAGTCACTAGATGGCGACTGAAAAAAAAGATTGCCTTAAACGATTACTCCTGTGAATTCAGTAATTAGATTTTCACATTTCTCACATTTTACAATTTAAATAAATAGCATGATTTACACTTACCTTTGAAGCAGTTTATTAGATCTTCTAAATCCTGAATGAAATCAAAAATATTCAACAAACAATCATCTGGAAGTTCATTTATTAACATTGTTAAATCAATTTTAAAATGGTAACTCTGAGATTAAACAACTTTAAACTTATCAATTTCTAGTTGCAACTATGATAAGAATACGAAACCACAGCTGGTCGACTTAGTCGAAAAATCAGTTGAATGCTCAACGGCTTAGCCGTGCAAATGATTGCAAATAAAATCCAATAAAATTTTATATTGGAATTGTAAGATTTAAAGTGCGTTTTTACATTAAAACCAAGATTAAAGAACTTTTTTTGTGTGCTCAAAATATCGGATTGAAAGGTTAGCCAAGATGGTGAATTTTATGAAGATAGCAACTTTTCTTTCAATATCGTATTCCTCGGAGCTGAAACGAAGATTAAGTGCAATGGATATACATTTTTTTATCATTTGCATTTCTAATCATCTATTGGATCCAGTAAATCAGGCAAATCATTGAATCTTTTGAAAAAACAATGTTCCATGAAATCGAATCCACGACAGATTTTTTTTGGTCGATTCAATATCTGCGGCCAATCAGCTTCAATTTGTTTATCGTCTTTTTTAAAATAAAACTTGATTGATCGTCCATGCTGTTCACAATAATCCTGAACATGATTAGCAGCTTCTTGAGTGACTTTATAAGCTTCACGAGCATCAAGTAGAATAAGTTTTGGCAAAATTAATATCAATTGCTTTATGTGTTCCGCTCTTAAATAGGTGCCTTTAATTGCCAAATGCTTTAGATTTGGATATTTTGACATTAATCTCCATATATCATTCCATTCGATTGGTTGACCCTATTTGAATAGAGAAAAGAGTCAATTTGTTAAAACGCTGACAAAGGAATAATAAAAATTAAAATAAAAAAAATTGCTATCTCGAGCAAAATAATACTCACAAATTCTATAACTAAATCTTGTAAATTTGTACATTTTATTGAATCATTGACGGTCAGGTATTGGCTAGCAATTTTGAGATGAGCACTCTGTAATGCTGGGCATAAATCTATGAATACAAATGAAGAGCATGTGTCAGAGTATTCAGCTGATTCAACTATTTTAAGATTTTCCAATACTGAATCATTAGAGCCATAAGGTACATAATCTAAACATGAAAAGATTAAAAACAGTTAAAAAAAGTTACTGAAATAATATATGAAATTGTTAAAATATGTTGTTGTATAATATTACCTAGTAAACATCTAATATTAATTTTTACCCTTTCAAGATTTGGAAAATAATGGGCCACTTCTTTGAATTCTCCTAGAGTAGAGTTCCAAAAATTTATTTGTTTCACAGTTTCATTGATTTTAATCTGTTTCAGATCAATGTCCGGATGAATAAATGAGATAGATAACATTTCGATGTTAGTGCTCAATGCAAAATCCGAATAACCATAACACATTATTCCTTTCAAAGATTCTGTGCCTCTGATTAGTTTAGCAATATCTTCCTTTGGTGTTTTAAGCAAAACGTCGACAATCTGTTATGATAAAATTTGTATAAAAACAATGAAAGTGAAATACATTGAATTTTTTTTAAATTCATATTATTAATATAATATTCATAATATTTAACAAAGAAAACCTTAGCTTTAGGAAAGGAAAAAGTTAATCTGTTTAGAGATGTGACTATCATAATCTGACTTCAGAATGAAATAAAGAAGCTAAAGTTTAGCAAAGTTATTGGGTATCTTGATTTCATTCTGAAAGTTGCTTACATTTTATGATTATCTCGAGCTCAAATAGATAACTTTTGTTGCCTAAAGCAAAGGCTTTCTTTGTTAAAACAATATGAATTCAATGAGAATTCAACGAATAACGTATAAAAATAATATCAAATCTGTCAACTTACCCTTAAATTTGGAAACCATTTGCTCAAAAATGTTACATCAACTGGCTCATCTGATAGATGGCAAACAGAATCAGGCGAATTTGGTTGGTCTGAAATTGATGATTGATTTTATTAGGAAAATGGTTAACTAGAAGAATAAGCATTAATCAAAATTTATAAATCTTACCAATAAAATATTTAACTTTTTTAGTCCGAACAACCAAATTACGCCATTTTTCGCAAACTGTAATTGGAATTAGTCAAATTATTTTCAACTGAACAAAATATAACGTATCTTGGGCTAACTAAAAATATCCGAATATTCCGCATTAACAGTCTGATATAAACCATATTCATAACAGGATAGCAAAAGAGGTTTCAATAAAAGTTGGAAGTAGCATAACTATAATTTTAGTATCCAAATAGCGCGCTTTTACAGTCAGACGATACACAATATTCATCACAAGGTAACAAACAAGGTTTCAATAAAACCGTTTCTTTCACATAAAAGTTTTATACATTCATGTATCATTTATCGTATTGTAATTTCAATTGATTGCTATAAATTATTCCAATATAATCTGATTTCCCTCACATTTCACAATTTACATAAGCAACATGACTTGCACTTACCTTTGAAGCAGTTTACTAAATCCGTTAAATCTTGTATGCAATCAAAAATAGTCAGCAAACAATCATCAGGAAGTTCATTTATTAACATTGTTAAATCAATTTTGAAATGATAAATCTGACAAAGAGAAACAGCATAAACAATTTTAGCAACAAATTAATCAACTTTAATATTAAAACTTTAACCAATATCTAGTTAAAACTAACGATCGAAACTAACTAATTTTATCGATAAAATCGATGCTTATCGATATTTTCTGGCTTTAGTGGTCATCGACTATCAAGATATATCGATGTTTTAATTCTCCTGAATTTTACCACGATTTTGTAAACGTGGAAAACGTCGTTTTCGACGACAGATTGCATTTATTATTAATTTTTTGAGATTTACGGTTCCCAGATTTACTGATTCAAGATTTATATTAAATTAGATTATGTCTTTGTATTATACATTTACATACAATTATATTACTTTGTATGCTTTATATTCACCCTGAACTGTAACAATAGCCACGGCTGCAAGGGGGGTTGAATTAAGCCACTCAGCCGTATGGCTTTAGGTGGACTCGAAAGAGCCTGACCATTCTTTACCATGCCATTCAAGCTCATTTTGGTGTGTTTCTACGTTTTTTGGCGTTTAATTCTCACGTTTTTTAACTGAAAAGTTAGCAAAGATGGTGATGATTTTAAAGATTTGGGAATTTTTTGCTTCAAAATTATAATATCTATTGAAATCATGCTCCTTAAATTATCGATATCGTTAGTATTAAATTATCATCAACGGGTTAAATCGGGTCTTCGACCCTTCAAGCGGTTATGTAACAGATTTCATCGAAAATAGAGCTACTTTCGAAGTTAAATGCAATTGAAGAATATGTGAACTTTAAATACAATTTTCAAACTATCGATCGTTGAATGCTTCCATTGTATAGATATGCCAAATTATTATTAATGTAAATAATTTAAGTGAAATTCACTTAGTGAATCAATTTAGATTTATTTTGAGCTGTCAATTGAACACTTTAATGGTTAACTAAAATAGACCAGTTTATACAAGATGAATAATTGTAATAAATAACCATGCAGGTAACCCAACAGTTATCCTTCTGTGAGCTGTGGTGGTCCGTCTAAGATCGATAATTATGGTCTGATTAAGATATCAAGGATTAAGTTTTGTTCAATATCGTAAACCTTACAGCTGAAACAAAAGTTGAGCACAAAGGAATCGACAATTATGTTATCATTTGCATTTCTAATCTTCTATTGGATCCAAAAAATGAGGCAACTGATAAAAACTTTTGAAAAAGCAATGTTCCATGAAATCAAATCCACGACAAATTTTATCTGGTCTATTCAATATCTGCGGCCAATCAGATTCAATTTGTTTGTCGTCTGCTTTGAAATAAAACTTGATTGATCGGCCATACCGCTTACAATAATCCTGAACATAATCAGCAGCTTCTTGAGTGACCCAAAGAGATTCACGAACATCCAGTAGTGTTAGTTTTGGCAAAATTAATATTAATTGTTTGATGTGCTCATCTTTTAAAGAGGTGCCTCGTATTGCCAAATGCTTTAGATTTGGATATTTTGACATTAATCTTCGTAGAATATCCCATTCGATTGGTTCGTACTATTAAAATAAAGATTTTTTGTTAGGATTCTTTAAACTATCGCTATGTAAATCTGAAGCGAAATCCTACTCACAAATTGAATAACTAAATCTTGTAAATTTGTACATTTTATTGAATCATTGACGATAATGCGACAGCAATCAATTTTGACATAAGCACTCTGTAATGCTGGGCACGAATCCATGAATACAAATGAGCAACAAAAGTCTGTCCAATCATAAGAAGACAACCCCAATTCAACTATCTTAAGATTTGCCATTACTGGGCCATTAGAGTAATGATCTGTTCTGTCTAAACATGAAAAGGTCAACAAACGCTTAAAAAAGGTGATAAAGTAAGCCTTCGATTTTTTGCAAAAAGAGTTACAGTACCTGATGGTTATTTTAAAATAACCGATCAAAACTTACACATAAAAATCATTAATTGACCGAGTAGCAATAAAGGATCAAATCAATAACAAAAATTAAAATTCTCGGTTCAAAATGTGTAGCTAAGTTAAGCTGTTTGTTAGTTCTTGCATAAAATCCTCGGTTTTTTAAAATGTAATTATAATACCTTCGCCATTATAAATTTTCAGCCGTTCAAGATTTGGAAAATGGTGTGCGACTTCTGCGAATACATCTAGAGTAGAGTCCCATAGGTACAATTGTTTCATATTTTCATTGATTTTCTTTATGTTTAGATCAATATATCCAGTAGATAACATTTCGAGGTTAGGGTTTTCCGGTATCGATTCAAAATCGAGGCAGGATTCCATACAGTAATGATGACCATAGATTATTCCTTTCAGCGATTCTGAGTCTCTAATTAGTTTAATAATATCTTCGATTGGTGTTTTCCCATTGCGTGTGTATAAAAGATCGGCAATCTGTTTTGATAAGATTTGTATAAAAAATAAAACTTTTAGAAACGAAAGTGAATCAATATCAAATCTTTCAACTTACCCTTAAATTTGGAAGCCATTTGCTCAAAAATGTTACATCAATTGGCTCATCTGTTTGATGACAAACTGAATCAGGCGAATAATTGGGTTGATCTGAAATTAATAATTTATTTTATTAGGAAAATGGTGATAAGCATTAATCAAAATTTAAATCTTACCAATAAAATATTTAACTTTTTTAATTCGAGTAGCAATCAAATTACGCCATTTTATACAAACTGTAATCAATATTTGTCAAGTCAATATTAAAAAATAACATAAAATATCCAAATAAGGCGCTTCAATAGTCAGATGATAAACAATATTCATGCTCAAGGAGTATACTATTTCTTCATCACAGAATAGAGGCTTTATTCGTAAAAGCAAGATCTAGCACTCAACAAAAGGTATTTTATTGAGATTTGATCTCCACATCTCTCACATTTTAAAATTTAAACAAATAGCATGATTTGCACTTACCTTTGAAGCAGTTAATTAAATCTTTTAAATCTTGAATGTAATCAAAGATTTCCAGAAAACAATCATCTGGAAGCTCATTTATTAACATTGTTAAAGTAACTTTGAAATAATAACTTACATTGATTGATAGTTAATAAATCTATAAGTGTTAGACAAACAAAAACCTTGCATATTTTGCATTTACGAGTACAGACATCTAACGTCAAAAAAAATATTAGAATGATTTTAAAGATTTTTGTTACGATGTCTGTAACGATTACGGTAGCACACAAAAGAATGAGCTCAACTCCTGGGTCAAAGACTTTGACTCATATAAGTTAATGCAATTTTCAGCAAATGCAAATTATCCAAGGTTTGGGTGTATCACAGCTAGTCGACTCAGTAGAAATGACAGTTGGGTGGCTTAGCCATGTGAATGACTGAACAATTTTCCAATATCGTCAACCTCACAGCTGAAACAAAAATTAAGTAGAAAAGATCGAATCATGTTATGCTTTGCATTCCTATTCATCTATTGGGTCCAAAAAATGAGGCAATTTATCAAAACTTTTGAAAAAACAATGTTCCATGAAATCGAATCCACGACAAATTTTTTCTCGTCGATTTAATGACTGTGGCCAATCAGATTTAATTTGTTTATCGTCTTTTTTGAAATAAAACTTGATTGATCGACCATGCTGTTTACAATAATCCTGAACATTTTCCATAGTTTTTCTAGTGTCTTTATGAGATTGACGAATATCAAGTAGAATAAGTTTTGGCAGAATTAATATTAATTGCTCGATGTGTTTCTTTCCTAACCACATTTTTCGTAATGACAAATGCTTTAGATTTGGATACTTCGACATTAACATGGGTAGTTCCTCCCAATTGGTTGGTTTATACTATTAGTATAGAGAAAAGTGTCAATCCGTTAAAATACTATTCGATTAATTAAAATTACAATGAGAAAAAATTGTTGAAGCTCAAGCAAAATCATACTCACATTTTGAATAACCAAATCTTGTAAGTTTGCGTTTTTTACTGAATAATTAATGACAATGCGACTGCAATCAATTTTGATATGAGCACTCTGCAATGCTGGGCACGAATCCATGAATAAAAATGAACTGCAGCATTCATGGTAATCCCTATCACGAGAAGATCCAGCCAGTTCAACTATTTTAAGATTTGCCATTACTGGACCATCAGAGTAAAAATCTGTTGTCTCTAAACATGAAAAGGGTTGGTTAAGAAACAATTATAAAGATACTGAAATATCATATGAATTTGTAATATATTATGAAAATACTTTTAGAACAAGAAATTTTCAGCCTTTCAAGATTTGGAAAACAATGGGCCACTTCTTTGAATTCATCGAGAGTAGAGTTCCAAAGGTTCAATTGTTTCACAGTTTCATTGATTTCAATTTTGTACGAATCAATAATTCTGGTAGATAGCATTTCGAGGTTAGCTTTTTGCGGCATCAATTTGAGATTCAAATAATCACCACAGATTATTCCTTTCAAAGATTCTGAGTTTCTGATTAGTTTGTCAATATCTTCGATTGCTGGTTTTACATGAGATGGGTATGAAAGGTTGGCAATCTGTTTTGATAAGATTTGTATAAAAATAAAACCAGTAAAGAGTCAAAGTGAAATAATGTCGAATCTCAATCAAGTCTGCATCAAATGTAAACTTACCCTTAAATTTGAAAACCATTCTACCAAAGATGTTATATCATCTGGCTCATCTGATTGAAGATACTCATTATCATCCACAAATTTGTCAAGCTATTATGATAAAATTTGTATAAAAACTACAGAAACAACGAAAAGAAATCAAATCAAATAAAAATATAAAATATGTCAACAGACCACAGAATATGGAAACAATTTGTTTATCCATGATTCTTCAATCGGTTCCTTCAATGTGTCTCTGATTAGTTTAGCGATATCTTCCTTTGGTACGTTTTCAAAAAATGGGTATGAAAAGTCGAAAATCTGTTATGATAAAATTGTTTGAAAAATAAGTAGTAATGAGAGTAAAATAATGTCAAATCTGTCAACTTACTTTTAAATTTGGAAACCATTTGCTCAAAAATGTTACATCAATTGGTTTATTTGATTGTTGAGTAACAGAATCAGGCGAATAATTTGGTCGGTCTGAAAATAACAAGTGATTTCCTTAGTCAAAAGGTTAAAAAGGAGCATTATTCAAAATTTATAAATCTTACCAATAAAATATTTAACTTTTTTATTCCGAGCAACAATCAAATTACTCCATTTTTCGCAAACTGAAATTGAAATTTATCAAATTACTATTAAATTAGCAAAACATAACTATAATATTAGCATCCAAATAGCGCGCTTTTACAGTCAAACAATACAATATTCATCACAAGGTAACAAACGAGGTTTCAATAAAACCGTTTCTTTCACATAAAAGTTTTACATCATTTATCGGATTGTGATTTTTTATGATTTCTATAAATTATTCCAATATACTTATTGTAATATACACAGGAGTGATTTTTTGGCCCTTGTTAAAAGACATTTCACCGTCATATCGATGAGATTCAATTGTTTGCGATCATCTAATTTTTCAAGTTTGTTAACAAAATACTAGCTGAACACCGAAATCACTAGATTGACAAAAAAAGGATCCGTCTGACAAAAAAAGGATTGCCTTAAACGACTACTCCTGTGTTTATAGTAATTAGATTTTTACAATATGAATAAATAGCATAATTTACACTTACCTTCGAAGCAGTTTATTAAATCTTCTAAATCTTGAATGTAATCAAAAATAGTCAGCAAACAATCATCTGGAAGTTCATTTATTAACATTTTTAAATCAATTTTAAAATGGTAACTATAAAAGTAAACAACTTTAATCTTATCAATTTCTAGTTGCAACTATGATAAGAATTAGAAACCACAGCTGATCGACTTAGTCGAAAAATCAGTTGAATGCTCAACGGCTTAGCCGTGCAAATGATTTTAAATAAGATCAAATCAAATTTTATATTGGAATTGTAAGATCTGAAGTGCGTTTTACAATAACGCCAAGAATAAAGAACTTTTTTTGGGTGCTCGAAATATAGGATTGAAAAGTTAGCGAAGATGGTGAATTTTCTGAAGATAGCAACTTTTCTTTCAATATCGTACAACTCGAACCGTTACGAAAATTAAAGTGCAATGGATTGACATTTTTATATCATTTGCATTTTTAATCACCTGCTGGATCCAATAAATCAGGCAAATTATCGAAACTTTTGAAAAAACAATGTTCCATGAAATCAAATCCACGACAAATTTTTTCAGGTTGATTCAATATCTGCGGCCAATCAGATTCAATTTGTTTGTCGTCCTTTTTAAAATAAAACTTGATTGATCGGCCATGCTGTTTACAATAAACCTTGACATGATCAGCAGCTTCTTGGGTGACTCCATGAGATTCACGAATATCAAGTAGTGTCAGTTTTGGCAAAATTAATACTAGTTTTTTGATGTCTTCATCACTTAAATAGGCATTTCGTATTGCTAAATGCTTTAGATTTGGATATTTCGACATGCATCTTGGTAGTGCATACCATCCTTTTGGTTCGTACTATGAAAATAAAGATGTTTTGTTAAGATTTTTTAGAACGCTATGTAAATCTGAAGCAAAATCCTACTCACAAATTGAATAACTAAATCTTGTAAGCTTGCAAGTTTTATTGAATCATTGACGTTAATGTGCCAGCAAGCAATTTTGATATGAGCACTCTGTAATGCTGGGCATAAATCCATGAATATAAATGAACAGCATTCGCCAGCGTATTCAGCTGATTCAACTATTTTAAGATTTTCCAACACTGAACCATCAGAGCCATAAGCTACATAATCTAAACATGAAAAGGTTAAAAACAGTTAAAAAAGTTACTGAAATAGTATATGAAATTGTAATATATACATGTATGTTGTTATATAAGATTACCCAGTAAATTTCTAAGTTCAATTTTCACCCTTTCAAGATTTGGAAAATAATGGGCCACTTTTTTAAATTCTCCTAGAGAAGAGTTCCAAAGGTATAATTGTTTCACAGTTTCATTGATTTTAATCTGTTTCGGATCAATAAATTCGGTAGATAACATTTCGATGTTAGTGTTTAATTCGAAATCCGAATAAACACTACACATAATTCCTTTTAAAGATTCTGAGTCTCTGATCAGTTTAGCGATATCTTCCTTTGGTACTTTATCCGAAAATGGGTATGAAGCGTCAAAAATCTGTTACGATAAAATTTGTATAAAAACAATGAAAGTGAATGAAAACCTTTTCTTTAGGAAAGGAAAAAGTTAAATCTGTTCATAATTTGACTTCAAATTGAAATAAAGAAGCTCAAGTTTGGCAAAGTTATTGGGCATTTTGATTTCATTCTGAAAGTTGCTTACATTGTATGATTATCTCGAGCTCTAGACAGAATAATTTTTGTTTCCTACAGCAAAGGCTTTCTTTGTTAAAACAATATGAATTCAATGAAAATTCTTTGATTAATCAAATGAAAATAATATCAAATCTGTCGACTAACCCTTAAATTAGGAAACCATTTGCTCAAAAATGTTACATCAACTGGCTCATCTGATAGATGATAAACAGAATCAGGCGAATTTGGTTGGTCTGAAATTGATAATTAATTTTATTAGAAGAATGGTTAACAAGAAGAATCAGCATTAAGCAAAATTTATAAATCTTACCCATGAAATATTTAACTTTTTTAGTCCGGACAACAATCAAATTACTCCATTTTTCGCAAACTGTAATGAAAAGTCAATAAATATTAAATTAACAAAACATGACTTCAAACAAACTATAATATTAGTATTCAAATAGCGCGCTTTTACAGTCAGACGATAAACAAAATTCATCACAAGATAACAAACGAGGTTTCAATAAAACCGTTTCTTTCATATAAAAGTTTTACATCATTCATCGTATTGTAATTTCAATTGATTGCTATAAATTATTCCAATATAATCTGATTTCCCTCACATTTCACGATTTACATAAGTAACATGATTTTCACTTACCTTTGAAGCAGTTTACTAAATCCGTTAAATCTTGTATGCGATAGAAAATAGCCAGCAAACAATCATCAGGAAGTTCATTTATTAACATTGTTAAATCAATTCTAAAATAGTAACTCTAACAAAGATTAAACAGCATAAACAAAACAACAAAGTAAACAACTTTAATCTTGAAACTCTAATCAATCTTTAGTTGAAACTAGTGCTGGGCGATTTTATCGATAAAATCGATGCTTATCGATATCTTCTGGATTTAGTGGTCATCGATTATCGAGATATATCGATGTTTTTAATTCTCATAAATTCCCTCTTACCACGATTTTGTAAACGTGGAAAACGTCGTTTTTCGACCACAGATTTCATTAATTTTTTGAGATTTACGGTTCACAGATTTACTGATTCAAGATTTATATTAAATTAGATTTATGTCCTTGTATTATACATTTACATACAATTACATGTATATTACTTTGTATGCTTTATATTCACCCTGAACTTTCACCCTGAACTGTAACAATAGCCGCGGCTGCAAGGGGGGTGGTATTAAGCCACTCAGCCGTAGCAATATCAACGAAGAAACTCAAGAAATCAGTTTAAAAAGCAATTTAGCTTGAATTTGATTAGTTAAAGCAAGTTGATAATCAAGAAAATAAGTTGCCCGGCGAATAGTGTAAATAAGCTATTTCAAGGTATTCTCATTATCTGGTAGCTTACTGTACAATTATATTACTTTGTATGCTTTATATTCACCCTGAACTGTAACAATAGCCACGGCTGCAAGGGGGGTTGAATTAAGCCACTCAGCCGTATGGCTTTAGGTGGACTCGAAAGAGCCTGACCATTCTTTACCATGCTATTGAAGCTCATTTTGGTGTGTTTCTACGTTTTTTGGCTCTAGGTTTTTACGTTTTTGCTTGATAAGTTAGCAAAGATAGTAAAGATTTTAGAGATTTGGGCATTTTTTGCTTCGAAATTATCTATTGAAATCATTATCCTTAAGTTATCGATATCGTAACTGTAAATTATCATCAACAAGTTAAATCGGGTCTTCGATCCTTCAAGCGATTCTGAAACAGATTTTTTTCAAAATAGAGCTACTCTCGAAGTTAAATGCAATTGAAGAATATGCGAACAAATTTAGATACAATTTTCAAACTATCGATTGTTGAATGCTTCCATTGTATCGATATGCCAAAATATTTATTAATATAAAAAATTATAAGTGAACCAATTCAAGTAGGCTATTTTAAACTGTCAGATGAACACTTTTAATGGTTAACAAGACCAGTTTATACAAAATGTCATACAAGATATCAAGGATTACATTTCTTTCACTATTGTAAACCTTGCAGCTGAAACAAAAGTTGAATACAAAGAAATCGACAATTTTAACTTTTGCATTTTTAATCATCTATTGGATCCAAAAAATGTGGCAACTGATTAAAACTTTTAAAAAAACAATGTTCCATGAAATCAAATCCACGACAAATTTTGTCTGGTTGATTCAATAACTGCGGCCAATCAGATACAATTTGTTTGTCGTCTGCTTTGAAATAAAAATTGATTGATCGGCCATACCGCTTACAATAGTCCCGAACATGATCAGCAGCTTCTTGAGTGACTCCACGAGATTCACGAATATCAAGTAGAGTCAGTTTTGGCAAAAGCAATATTAATTGTTTGATGTGTTCATCTTTTAAAGAGGTACCTCGTAATGCCAAATGCTTTAGATTTGGATATTTCGACATTAATCTCCATAGATCATCCCATTCGCTTGGTTCGTACTATTAAAATAAAGATGTTTTGTTTAGATTTTTTAAAACGCTATGTAAATCTGAAGCAAAATCCTACTCACAAATTGAATAACTAAATCTTGTAAATTTGTACATTTTATTGAATCATTGACGGTAATGCGACAGCAATCAATTTTGACATAAGCACTCTGTAATGCTGGGCACGAATCCATGAATACAAATGATAAACAAAAGTGTGTCCAATCATAAGAAGACAACCCTAATTCAACTAACTTAAGATTCGCCATCACTGGACCATTTAAGTAATAATCTGTATTGTCTAAACATGTCTAAATCCTCGGTTTTTTAAAATGTAATTATAATACAGGGCTATTCAGCTACTTAGTAAGATGTTGAACGCCAATAACTTTGCAACCAGACATATCTTTGACCTGGGAATCGAATATAGTGAGTTTGGGGGACATTCATTTTTTATGTTTCAAGGACAAGGTCATTCAAGGTCATTTTTCGGAAATCGCTGCTGCTCATGTTAGAGGTCATTCTGAGAACAGGACATCATTTTTGAAGACGAAAAATCTTCCTGGTCAAGTTTCGACGCTCTGTGATGAACGCTGCTTGAGTTATTAACATTTAAGTTACAAAACTTCGTTAATTTAAATTTTTTATTTTTATGAAAATCTGCATTTTTTATGCTCATTGAGACTAAATTGGAACTAATTGACAGAAATAATCCATCTTATACTGTAAAAATGAATAAG